AGTAATTAACAATAGTCGAACACGAGCAGAGAAAGTCCAAACACAAGCTGAGTGCATAGAAGCAAACAAGCAAGTGAAGAAGAGCATTAGAGCCGACAAGCAGAAATACGTGGAAGAACTAGCAACGACGGCGGAGAAAGCTACAAGAGAAGGAAATATGAGACAGTTTTAAGATACAATGAAGAAACTAGCAGGGAAATATTGTAGACCAAACAGACCGGTCAAAGACAAAGAACGCCAGTCAATCACTGAGATTCAAGGACAGAGGAACAGATAGGTAGAGTATTTTGAGGAACACTTGAATAGACCAGCTGCATTGAAACCACTGGACATCGAAGCAGCACTCACGGATCTTCCTATAGATGTCACTCCATCAATGACCGAAGAAATCAGGATGGCCATCAGACAAATCAAGAGCGTGAAAGCAGCAGGACCAGCGGAAGCACTGAGGTCAGACATTGAAGTAACCACAAACATGCTTCATCTTCTATTCAAGAAGATTTGGGAAGAGGAACAAGTGCCGATGGACTGAAAGGAAGGACACCTCATCAAGATTTCAAAGAAAGGAGACCTGAGCAAGTGTGAAAACTGCAGAGGCATTACACTACTGTCAATACCAGGAAGTCTTTCACAGAGTGTTACTGAACAGGATGAAAGACGCAGTAGATACCCAACTTCGAGATCAACAAGCTGGATTCCGTAAGGACCGGTCGTGCACAGACCAAATTGCGACACTACGGTTCATCGTCGAACAATCAATCGAATGGAACTCGTCATTGTACATCAACTTCATTGATTATGAAAAGGCATTTGACAGTGTAGATAGGAGGACGTTATGGAAAATTCTTCGACACTACGGAGTTCCTGAGAAGATTGTCAACATTATCCGCAACTCATATGACGGACTACAGTGCAAAGTAGTGCATGGAGGACAGCTGACAGACGCATTCCAAGTAAGGACCGGAGTCAGACAAGGCTGTCTACTCTCTCCCTTCCTCTTTCTTCTGGTGGTCGACTGGATTATGAAGACCTCGACATCTGAGGGAAAACACGGCATACAATGGACAGCTCAGAACCAATTAGAAGATTTTGACTTCGCAGATGACCTAGCCCTCCTATCGCATAAACACGAACAAATGCAGACAAAGACAGCCAACATAGCAGCAGTCTCTGCATCAGTAGGCCTCAACATACACAAAGGGAAAACCAAAGTCCTCAAACACAACACGGAGAACAGCAGTCCAATCACTCTTGATGGCGAAACTCTGGAAGATGTGGAATCCTTCACATACCTGGAAAGCATCATCGATAAACAAGTAGGTTCAGATGCAGACGTAAAGGCAAGAATTGGCAAAGCAAGGGCCGCATTCCTTCAATTAAAGAACATATGGAACTCAAAACAACTTTGAACGTCAAGGCAGTTCTATTGTACGGAGCTGAAAAGTGGAGAACTACAACAACCACCATCAAGCAGGTACAAGTATTTATCAATAGCTGTCTACGCAAGATACTCAACATCCATTTTCCGGATACCATCAGCAACAGCCTTTTGTGGGAGAGAACCAACCAGCCTCCAGCGGAAGAAGAAATTAGGAAACGACGATGGAAATGGATAGGACATACATTGAGGAAATCATCAAACTGCATTACGAGACAAACGCTAACTTGGAATCCTGAAGGGAAGAAAAGAGGAAGGCCAAAGAACACATTACGTCGGGAAATAGAAGCGGATATGAAAGGGATGAATAAGAACTGGAAAGGATTGCCCAGGACAGGGTTGGATGGAGAATGCTGGTGAGCGGCCTATGCTCCTTCACGAGGAGTAACAGGCGGAAGTAAGTAAGTAAGCATTATTTAGATCGGATGATGTTTGTTGACAGGCTCTCCACTTTAGTGGCCCGAGATCTGACTCTAAGGAGATCGTAATGAATGATTGTTATTGGAATATACATGTCGCCTATCTTAGTATATAATCATCGACTTAATCACGTTAGTCAATAACAGAATTAAATAAGTCAAATAACGAGAACCGACTTTTGAATACATATATTTTGTATATGAAGCAAGTGGAACAGAGTGAAGCGAAACGATGCGCAGTGGAGGTGGCGGGTAAGCCAACTCCCTTTAGTCAAGCGTTAATCAATATTTATAGTCACACAAAAATAGGTTACAGACATGTGATGAATAGGATAAGAAGTGCACACACATGTGCGCTCATAAAAAAAGTCAAGATTGATTAGCGAATAATTAACAAGGTCAAAATATGACTCAAGTAGAATGAATAGATTGGCCTGTTCGAAAGCTATACTAAGGTATGTAGGCTCAACATAATCACCGACACTACAAAATGAACCGTCATCTTAGAAATGATCACGGGTCAAATACGATGGTAATAACCTTACCTAGTGAGTACAAGCACCCAATGAAAAACTGCCTGAGTCTATAAAACGTTAGTATGAGTGACGAAATATTTATAAACGTGCCACCGACAGCGGATTTGAACTGGGAACAAAATTCTCTGGCTAAAACCAACTTGACATACAAAACAATGCACAGAAAGACAACACAGGGATGAATCACTGACCGTGAAATGGATGTCAGGTGTTACCCACGACAGGGGATAATCAACGACTGCTATATAGTCGGGAATAACTGGACAGGAAACATGACCAAGAAAGTCCAGCTTGATGTATAACTAACAAGTAATAGCGATTCTGTTAGCTGACTAAAGGTAGTCAAAATGAAACCCTATACCTAGACCTTGTACCAGTGGGCACTCGTCAGCAAGGTGTACGTGTAATCCTGAGGGGACTTTTGTTCCCTGGGGGAGTGCTGATTAACGACGTTGAGTCACTAAGACTAGTAGCCAAACTGGAGTTTATCAATAGAAGTAGGAGTAAAAGCACTAAACAAGCATGATATTGGTCACTGCTCAGTAGCGATCAATGAACAATAAATAATAACTCTACTTTTCATCATCAATTGAATAGTATTATAGAGTAAATTCTGACCATATTTATTAGTTTGGACATTACGCTGACATAATCTATTACAATTTTAGAGACTAGTTACTAAATGTTGCATGTATCATATAAACTAAGATAACAGGCTTAGAGCAAACTTCATGAATTTCCGGATACTAAAGAGTACACTCACCAATATTATAGTTATTTCCATCAGTCACGAGTTTCATGCAATTTATAATCATTACTAATCGATTTGAAGTGACTTGAAAATAATTTTAACAGTGGTTGGAGTGACCTACAAAGGTTGTATACATAAAAATGCAAAAACTAAAGTTTAACGTCCAATTTAGGCTGAATAGACTTTGTAATCAAGTGACCAGATATCATCAATCCATAGTTTACAAAAATTAAATAATTTTATCGGCCGACAAGAAAGTGTATATAAGACAACATCTTTCCATACCTTTTAAATCAACCAAAAATTTGTTAATACCGTTACACTAAGTACCAAGAAATTCGAGTAAAATTTGTTCAACCGCAACAACGTTATTCGACTACCTGGAAAAAAGGTAAACCACCTTGGTCAGTCAAACGTAATGTACAACCTGGTACGTGTAGACATAGGTTCAAGTTGCGATGGGCCATGAAAACAGAGATGATATTGTGAGGGGGAACCTCAAAGTTAGCAACAGTATTAATGGTAATAGTGTGGTGTGTGCTACTTATGTAGACATAAGTAGTATATGACGTGAGTACTGAACAGAATGTCTGGCAGCAGAGAGACGAGATCGAACAATAAAGAATGAAGACAGAATGCAATTTGTATGAAAATGCAAGAACAAAGGAATTCTGAGTCATTTGATGCACATTTTGCAAATTGAGCACTTACGATATGGTTGTTAGATTTTACTAACTAGTTCTATAATTTTTTGTTAAATACATTCGATTGTCATCACTGGTGTTTTGTTCACTACAATAGAAAAGTTTAAGCATCCAACACATCATTCGAGAAGTGATATAACCAAGAGGACTCATGGGTGGTTTTGAAACTTAGGATCTAAGGGAAGACAAAGAGTATAGGCACATACGGTCACGCTCCCAACTCACTAAGTCCATTAATAAACGAGTTTCATTTTCAGATCTTTCTACGATGTGGGCAGCTAGGAAGTGACGACCACCCTCATACATTAAACAGAACTAGCGATCCTCTTGTTGAAGGTGAACCATTTAAATGAATAGGAATTATATTTCTCAAATCCCAATTTATCGACTCGAATCACAAGCTTATCAATTAGTTTATCATTTCTACTAAGTAATTTCTCCATTACTTACTCGTCAGCTCCATCATATACAAAAAGCGATCTAATGTTTTATGGTCAAGCACAGACATATAACACCTTTTTTCCTTGTTTCATAGGTAATTTCCCACGACTATATCGATATACAAAGGACTTCTACGCTATATACTACCTTTCTGATGATTTTTATATATTTTAACACATAGATATCGGTACAAAGAGGCACCGAATACATATGCGCCACACAGATCTCATTGGATATGTGTGTGGGCTGCGATACTGCCCGGGTACCCAGACCGAAGCAGGTGGTTTTCTTAAGGGGCCACACCCCGAGCATTCGACCTGAACGTCGGACCCACAAGGCAGTGGAGCATCGTGAGGAGATGCAGTCCCATGGTAGTCGGTGAACAACGATTGGTTCATACGCCATTTGTTCCATCAGGATACTGGAGCCCATGTGCACCATTGGTTTGGGATCCGGTTAAAGCGCCGGACATTCGCTTTTCGTCCTCTCATTTTCGTAAACAACACCCCCGCCACGTTAAGGTAGTGAGTAAGACTTCCCTTTCTGATGAACAGACGAACATATCACCTGCTGAACAGGTGACGGGAGTGGACAACAGCTGAACCAATCTTCGTATGTATCAAGATTTAGTCAACTATCAACCACTCAAAACTAAGAAAACCATCAAAAGTGAAGTTAGTGCACTCAACTTCTTAATTTTCTATTATTAAACTGGAAGTTGACACAGACTAATTTTTGACAAGATGTTCTTTTATTGAAAAGGAAAGTGTTTAATACATTTGTGATTTCTTTACTCATGAGGGTAAGCAAACAAAACCCGAGAAAGCAATTTATATATAATTATGATAATTATTTAACAAGAACTAGTATAAATGACCGACTATATTTTACTTATCTTTTCTTTAAAAAAATAATATAAATTATTACAACTTTGAAGGTAAATAGAAAGAATAAAATGAGTTATTTCTTTATACAACAAAAAAACGGTACTTTCGATGGTGGTTTAAAAATAATCTATACGAACTATACAAATAATTATGGAAGAATTTCATTTGCTGTTTTCTTTTTTTATGTGATGCAATAACTGGCTGGATCTTGTTTTAAAAACAGCAAAACTGACAAGTAGTTTATACATAAAATCAAATTAAGGAATTTCGAACCTATTATTTGTTTTTTACGATCGATGAACTAATTTAATATCGTTATCAATAAGATTTTGTGATGAATTTGGATAAATAGAATTAGATTTAGTCAAATCTACATCATTTTCAGGAGATACTTTAAAATCTAAATCTGAATAAACCGACTCCAGTTCACTATCCGAAGTAGAATAGTTTGATGAAGATAGTCCACTGCTGATTTGTTCACTCAATGAAGTATTACTATGATGGTTTTCTGTCAATGTTGGTTTTAAACTCGCATCATTTTTAGCTTTAAAGGCAACACGTTGTTGAAGATTACGTAAACGTTTGTGTAAATGTGCTCGAGCTTTACAAATATCACTTTGCCAATCTGCAGTCCATAATAGTTTAGCAGCTTTATAGCCAAGACGACAAGTACGAAAAGCCCAATGGATATTTAAACAATCAAGTAATCCGCAACTAGAGGCGAAAATAGGAACAATAAGCGGAACAGATCTAGCACAAATTTTGTAAGCATCAGATCCGTAAGATATATAGGCTATAAACCAAAATGGTAGAATCATTAGATTACGTGTTATGATAAAAAAGATTGCAAATATCAAAGTTACGCATGCAACTCTTCGGCGATCAGGTTTGTAACCAATAGTACGATAGAACCACCTACAAAGATAATTTCAAAATATGATTAAATCATACAGGTTGGTCATTCTTGTTATGAATTACTGAAAGAAATGTTCAAATAATTGATACAATAACTGACCATCTAGAAGAATATTTTTTCTAGATTATTTGTAGAGAAGGAATTTCAGCTAATTTGATGAGTATGTACTGATGTGGTACGAGGAACATTGGTTAAAGCACTCAAATTTAATTAACAGCTTACATGTGTATACCGCACATAAGTAGAAAGGTTGTTATCAAATTGTTTTATCAGTCTTTAAACTTCAGTTGGCAAACTGATCATTAACGTAATGAAATCTGATGGTAAAGGGGGGACAAAAATATCTAACTACAGAACTTACATACAATCACATAATATTACTGTTGCTTCAAAATATCACACATGGCCAAGTAGAATTCTTCGCAAAAGATATGGGTGGAACTTGAATAAGTAAAGCGTTCAATAATCAACAACTTTGAATGGTAACTGAATTTGAGTGTGCGAAAATGTCTGGGCCTCCTTTTGTTCTACGTAGTTTGGTATCAAGTATATATATATATATATATATATCATTTTAATTTTTCCTTTCCTGACTAGATAGTATTTGCTTGTTATATATAAATTTATTTGAATAAATTGTAGATTTTTGTTGAAAATCATTCTGAAATATCTTTTAGCTCGCACAGAATACTACACCTACAATTCATTTTGGTAAATAAAGAATGCCCCCAAATGCCCTGGTATGGCCGAGGGTGGGATGGGTTCGCCCTCCCTCTCGAAATACTCTCACACGGCCACGCGTATATAGCCCCTGCCAGGGAAGTCCTACTCACTGCCTTCTCGTGGCGGGGGTGTTGTTTACGAAAATGAGAGGACGAAAAGCGAATGTCCGAAGCTTTAACCGGATCCCAAACCAATGGTGCACATGGGCTCCAGTATCCTGAAGGAACAAATGGCGTATGAACCAATCGTTGGTCACCGGCTTCCATGGGACGGCATCTCCTCACGATGCTCCACTGCCTTGTGGGTCAGACGTTCAGGTCAAAGGCTCGGGGTGTGGCCCCCTAAGAAAACCACCTGCTTCGGTCTGGGTACCCGGGCAGTATCTCAGCCTACGCACAAATATAATGATAATGAAAATTATGATATTTACTGAAAACTATTCTCGCTGCGATTTACTGTCAAACAATTCACATTATTATTATTACCATTACTATTATTATTATTATTATTATTATTATTATTTACCACGTCATTTACTCACTTTCTTTCATTCCCACTCTGTCTATCCTTATTTTTCGACTTAACAGCAGCTCGCCTATGGTGGACATTCGGCTCTATCTAAACGTTCTTGTATCACTGCCTGGTTGAAAATTGTATGTTGCCATCGAATAAGAGTACTGAAGCAGTTTTTCTGAAACCACGAGCACCATTCAAACTGGCTGCCTTTAACGTTCGCACACTTATGCAGGTCGGACAACAGATAGGGCTGGTTATGTATTTGGAAAGTCTTAATATTGATGTGTGTTGTCTATCCGAGATCCGTATTCAAGACTCTGGTGAAGTACTACAAATTCGTTCTCCATCTGTCACTTCAAAAAGCTTGTTCTACGTGCGCTTATCCGGGGACCCTGTGGCATCTTCGTCTGGTCTTGCTGACGTTGGTGTCGCACTAAGCACTAGAGCTGAGGCAGCACTAATGGATTGGATCCCCATTAACAGTCAGTTATGTGCTGTTACATTAGAAAGTACCATCAAAGTGAGAAATCGACGTGAGAAACGATGTCTTTTTGTCATCTCCGATATGCCCCGACAGATTGCAGCCCGGATGCAATCAAGGATGAGTTCTACCACCAGTTAACTGTTCTTCTCCAGAAAGTGCGTTCGACAGATATTGTAGTACTAGCCAGAGACTTGAATGCTCAGGTCGGGCATCTAGGCACAGAAGAGAGTCGTTTAGGTGGCCGATGGGGACTCGTTGGTCGCAGGACAGATAACGGGGAACGTCTACTGCAAATATGAACAGACCACAACCTGTTTCTGGCTAGCACTAACTTTCGGCACAGTCATCGCCGATGTGCCACCTGGCGTCCTCCTTCTTCATCTCAAGCCTGGACTCACATTGATCACATCGCGATCAGCTACCACTGGCGTGATTGTGTACAAGACTGCCGCTTCTTTTGGAGTACCTATCTGGAATCTGATCATGCCTTGGTCTGTGCCAATCTTACCTTACTTTTCAGTGGACAACGAAGTGACCGCCACCAAAGGATTGGTGTTAGCAAGCTGGTTGCAACTTCTGTTGCTAGTAAGTACCGAACCGAGCTAGCTTTTAGGCTAGGTACCATTCCACCGAAAAGTATAGATGAGCATTGGTTGCAATTGCATGACGCCATGAAAATGGCGGGTCAAGTCTGTTGTGGGTTCGCAGAATTCTTTGAAGGGCAGTTCAACTGGCCTGCTGCTCCAGCAACATCGGTCAGACTGTCCTGCCCTCCATGGCCGGTGACGACTGATCTACCAAGTGAGGCGGAAGTCCGCAAGGAACTCCAACTCTTCAAACGCTACAAATCACCGGGCTTAGACGACTTACCTCCGGTTATTTTTAAAGATGGTGGTGACTTTCTGACTAAGGGACTGACGACGTTGTTTACAAAGATCTGGGAACTAGAGAGTGTACCAACGTCATGGAATGAGTCGATAGTTGTCCCTATCTTTAAAAAGGGTTCACGTCGTTCCTGTAACAACTATCGAGGGATAAGTCTACTTCCGATTGCGTCCAAGCTATTGGCTTCCGTCATACTTCGTAGGTTGTTCAAAACACGAGAAAGATTGACTCGGGAGAAGTAGGCTGGGTTTCGTTCTGTATGAGGATGTATTGATCATATCTTCACCCTCCGCCAAATGTTAGAACACCGCCATACTTATCAAAGGCCAACAATCGTAGTGTTTCTTGATATCAGGGCTGCCTTCGATTCGTTGGACAGAACTGTTCTCTGGGATTGTCTATTGAAGAAGGGTGTGCCTGAGAAGTTTATTAACACCCTAAAAGCCCTATACACAAACACCTCAGGCAGAGTGAGGGCATACAACCACCTTTCTCCATTATTCCATTCAAGCAGTGGGGTTAGGCAGGGTTACCCAATCTCACCATTCCTCTTCAACTTTGCCATCGATGACATTCTGGAAACAGCTCTGATGGATGTAAGTAATGGTGGTGTGGATCTGTTGCCTGGAGGAAGACTTCTCGACCTTGAGTATGCGGATGATATTATCTTACTGTGCGAGAATGCCCAAGCCATGAAATCTGCACTCATTCAGTTGGCAATCAATGTCCGTAGGTATGGTATGTGCTTCGCATCTTCGAAGTGCAAAGTCCTTCTACAAGACTGGCAGGATTCTAATCCTGTACTAACTCTGGATGTTGACCAGATAGAAGTAGTCGAGAAGTTCGTGTATCTGGGTAGCTGCATAAGTGCTGGTGGTGGCGTGAGTGATGAGATCAATGCACGTATAGTGAAAGCCAGAGCGGCTTATGCCAATCTGGGCCATCTTTGGCGCCTTCGTGATGTTAGTGTGGCTGTAAAAGGTCGGATCTACAACGCGTCGGTGAGAGCAGTTTTGCTCTATGCTTGTGAAACCTGGCCTCTCCGAGTTGAGGATGTTAGACGACTCTCTGTGTTCGATCATCGTTGTCTCCGAAGGATTGCTGACATTCAGTGGCAACACCATGTCAGTAATGCAGAGGTTCGGCATCGTGTGTTCGGGCACAGAGACGATAATGAAATTGGTGTCACCATCTTGAAACACTGACTTCGGTGGCTTGGACATGTTCTACGAATGTCGTCCCAGAGAATTCCTCGTCGTGCATTATTTGCCGACTCTGGGACTGGTTGGAAAAAGCGGAGAGGTGGTCAGTATATGACATGGTGTCGCGGTATGAAAGAAAGCTGCAAAGAGCTAGCTTCTATTGGTCCTTCACGACTCCCTGGCTGGGGTCCGAGAGACGGCGTAACACAGTGGCTAGAGACGTTATCAGATATGGCTCAGAATAGAAGCCAGTGGCGATCCTGCTGTAACCTTCTTTTACTTTTTTCATAAAAAGTGGCTGTATCCTCCTTAACTGAAAGATTTCTCCCGATTGTGCCTTTTCGTTTCCCCCATTTTTGTTCTTTTTTAATATAGATATTCCCTACGTTCCTTACCTTTCTTTTTCCCTTCTCTTTAAATTCTCATTGTTTTGTGTGGCGCATATATATTTGGTGCCCCCCTGTACCAATATTTATGTGTTTAAATAATAAATAATAATAAATAAAGAATAGTTTGTTCACTGTAAATATTTTCCCACCTTTCAGTGATAATAGACGTAAGGATTTAAAGTTGAAAAACAGGTTTTACCAAGGAAACTTCAATCAAAATCGTGACACGCAAAACATATAAAAAAATACTTAGAATCAATACTATTGAAAAAGGCTAACAATATTTCATTTATAAAACTGAGTAGATCAATAGTAATTTGGTGTAACGCAGTGGCTAGAGACGTTATCAGATATGGCTCAGAATAGAAGCCAGTGGCGATCCTGCTGTAACCTTCTTTTACTTTCTTCATAAAAAGGTGGTCGTATTCTTCCTTAACTGAAAGATCTGTTCTGATTGTACCTTTCCGTTTCCCCCACCATTGTTCTCTCTCTCTCTCTTCTTTTTTTTATAATGCCCCACGTTCATTACTTTTTTTTTTCTTCTCTTTTCTCCTTCTCTTCTAATTATCACTGTTTTGTGTGGCGCATATATATTTGGTGCCCCCCTGTACCAATATTTATGTGTTCAAATAAATAATAAATAAATAAATAATTTGGATTCATTCACTAAATTCGAATCTTTAACTACAAACATATGTTATTTTTCAGACAGCATTGTACGGAGTAGGAACCGATGTGAAGTGGCGGTATAGTGGTTAAAATGCTCAACCTTAAAATAGAGGAATGGAGAATCGGACTTTACTTTAAGTTAGCTGGTAGTATTACTAACTCTCACAAAAATATTCTGACGCAAAGAAGCCTAGAACACAAATATGTGCTTGGTGAATGAGATACATATAATTACAAAACAGACCAAATTCAGTCAGAAATTTCTTTTTTAAAGGAAGACTTGCTACAAAATCTAATAATGATAATAAAATGTATGGTGGTATATTGGTTCAATATCACACTGGATAAGTAATGGATTTATAAAGTAATACAAAATATACAAGATTCAGAAAGTAACAATTAAAAGCAGTTACTACTATCATTCACATAACATAACTTTATCCTTCATATGATTGATAAAACTAATGAAATTAGACTTTAATACTAGTAAAGGTTTGGCATTTACTTGTTGTTGATATTCAAGACTGAATCTTGACCAACCTATATTTGAATGTTTTACATTTTAACGGGAATTCGCAGTCAGACATTTACTAACTGTGGTCATTCCTGTTTCGCATTACGAATCTTACAAATAAAACTTATATTCAAAATTAAGTAAAACAGAATGAAATGATATAAGTAGATACCTTTGATTGACGAAAGGTGTAGATAGCTCGGTTGTAAGTCGATAAACACCAAAAAATACGCAAGTTCGATATCGCTAAAATAGAGAAAAATATAATTTTATTTAGTCGAATAACAAAAAATCAGCTAGATGTCAATAAAATTGACAGATATTGCTAAAAAAAAATAAAATTACAAATGAGAAAAAAGAGCATATAACATCAATGTATGACAAAACCTATTAGTAATTAAAACTGAAATATGGCTTGAAAGTTAAGTAAACTGGGTATAGTGGTGTATTGTATTTCATATATATTAACATAGTGCTTATTCACAGAAGACTTTCAAAGTAGGTCTTAAACTTATCAACCTCTATGAAGTGGTACATGTCAGAGGATAGTACCAACTCCCTTCAACTACTCAGAAGACTATCCATTGATTTTCTACCTTCGTTTTGCTGCGAAATATTTCAATGATATCGCACGATGATAAGAACTAATAAATCATTCACGTTGTTCGAAAGCGAAGCTAGTAAACAATCAAAACCTATTATGAAAACCCTATAAAATGTTACTTTGTGTTATTCTAATCCCCCAAATGCCCTGGTATGGCCGAGAGTGGGGAGAGTCCGCTCTACCTCTCGAAATACTCTCACATGGTCATGCGTATATAGCCCCTGCCAGGGAAGTCCTACTCACTGCCTTCTCGTGGCGGGGGTGTTGTTTACGAAAATGAGAGGACGAAAAGCGAATGTCCGGCGCTATAACCGGATCCCAAATCAACGGTGCACATGGGCTCCAGTATCCTGAAGGAACAAATGGCGTATGAACCAATCGTTGGTCACCGGCTTCCATGGGACGGCATCTCCTCACGATGCTCCACTGCCTTGTGGGTCCGACGTTCAGGTCGAATGCTCGGGGTGTGGCCCCTTAAGAAAACCACCTGCTTCGGTCTGGGTACCCGGGCAGTATCACAGCCCACACACATATCCAATGAGATTCGTGTGGCGCATATGTATTTGGTGCCTCCTTGTACCAATATCTATGTGTTAAATAAATAAATAAATATTCAAAAAGATACATTAACTGATGGTAAGTGATTTACTTTCTAGGAAAAGCAAATAACCAAGAGACGAAATAAATGGTATTTATAATTAATAACACCAATAACAAAAGTGATAACATTGTTGATTTACCACAACATAGAAAAATGCAAAGCATGCGGCCGCATGATGCAGAAGAAATATGATTAACTGGTTATTTCGCCAATAAAATGGCATAGAAATAGCATCTAAAAAAACAAGTAGTCGACAATTTTCTTAGAACATTAACATAACTAAAGAATATGATTAAACAAGCCAAAAACTACAATTAATGGGTGGACTTATTTGCAAATAGTGATATCTATCAATTCACAGAGAAATAAGTGAAATTTGTTTGAGCTCTAGTAGTCCAATTATTAATCACATATTAGAATCATATAATAAGTATCATATTAAATTAATGTTGTCGTTTGCCGACTTGACAGAAATGAATAGACAGTAACTTACTGCAGTGACGTCAGTGATATAATACACATTTGACCTTGTTTATTAATCTACTAGAAGTTCTCTTTTGCTGGCTAACAAGAAATTGTATATCACAATTAAAATCTAATGACACCTGAACAGATATAATTTTCATGTACAGAAAAAAATTCATTTTTCTGTTTTGTAAAGCTAATAGGTTGACAGGATAACATTTTCGCAACACGAGAAACTGATGGAAGAAATTAGTTCTATGAAAAACGGAATTGTATGTGCTTGCCATCAGAAACATTACAGAAAATATACGAAAAGCTTATCTATATTTGCTGGAATTTAATACACATGGTTCCAAAAGATATACTACCGGCTATCGAGAAATGATTAACCACTCCACTATTTTATAACTGCGAAGAGTTTTGATAAAATGGAAGATATTTAGACCAAGTTTATTTGATTATAAATTCAACTGAAATAACAAATGAGTAATGTTCGTATTAAATGCAAAGTTCTACGTACACATCTGTCTCCGGCGGAAAAGCCTTATGAAGTAAGCTGACACATCAAAAACTTCCCATAAAAAGGTGGTGCGTAACTGGATTCAAGCAGTTGTTTCATAGGTTCTGAGGTCACATTCCAGGACGTTAAAACCAGTCTCTTTTCCTGGTATCAAGAAAAAACTTCATTCCATGGTATGGGCGACCGGAAAGTGGCGACTGCCTCTATGTCTTTAACAGTACTCAGGGCCATTCTATTTACGATCAAATCCCCTACTAGTCTCTCCCATACGACTAACCATTCTCGTATATATTTATCACCACAGATTAAGAAGGGTCGATTGGCTTTTGCCAACTTTGTCACATATGAAGTAGGCGAAATACCCGTCTTCCAACCAAAGGAGTTCACTGCACAGTAGTTCACTCAGCTCCACTTTATGGATGTGAAGTATGGCCATTTAGAGTAGATAATGTTCGTAGATTACTGGTATTCGATCATAGGTGTTTTCGAAACATTGCTGATGTATTTTAGGACAACGGAGTAACCAATGCCTTGATTAGAAAGAGAGTACTGGGTAAAGATGGAAGTTGGTTGATGAAGCAGTAAACCTCCATTCACTGGAGTGGTCGGGACGTGTGTTACGTATGCTTAACCATTATCTCCCCCGACGAGCGATGTTTTCTGGTGCAGGGGTAAGCTGGAAGGAAGCTAGGGGCAGTCAAAACAAAACATTGTATCAGTCTATGAAGTCATCGGCAATCGGACCAAGCCATCTTAGTAGGTGTAGACTACCTGGTCCGAGTCCACATGATATTGTAATCAATGGTTGGAGACCTTGAATGATATGGCTCGAAATCGTTTGTATTATCACAGGTGCAAAAATTCTTTGTCCTCAACGAAATTATAAATTTCTCAAAAACTTTTTGTGTTTATTTCGCCAAATTATATTTTCTCTTCAAGTCATCTTCTGTGCCTAATTTTTCCCGTTATCTTTGATACTGCAACTATCTCTGCGACCTGATTAGTTTGTGTAGATCTTAGAAGATTAACCTCATTATTGCAGTAATTTTAACGTTGCGGAAAACTATTAATGGGATTTAGAATATCGGCTTAATAGCATACTCAAAATGCATACCCAGTCTTTAGAAAAACGCCTGTTATGAAAACAGATGTGGTATAGAGGTATGGATCTTCGATATTTTATGCATGTGTGAAACACTCAACTTTGTCACATAACGGCAGTTTAATCCAATAAGCTGAACTTCAAATCGGTCATCAATAATGAGTATTTAAGCCTACTATATGGTATGGAGATAAGGTTATCACTCACTCCGTTAAACTTACATGCCTCATTTTTCTAGCAGGGTATAAATTAATTTTACATATAAAATATTCTTCAAATAAAACTCCAAACTTACCACATAAAAAGTAGCCAATGGAAATCGATAGTGCCATAAGACCAGAATGAGATACACTTCTTTTAAAGGGAAGATGAGAAAGGAAATACATGTAAAAAGTATCGTTATGATAGGAACAAGTGAATAATATATTTATCCACTCCATTTCCTATTGTTTTATTTTACTCAGTTTTACCATATATACGAAACTAAAGAGAGTAACTTGGGTAAATTCAGGCTTCTTCCTAACCAACTCCTCGTCATGACTATCATGACCGCCAATTTAGTCACTTAGAGCCTAATACATATAAGCATTTGTACAATTTTCCACACTAGATGAAATTGTTAAGCTATAAACCAAAGAAGTAGATATTGTACGGCCGATAGTAAAATATATAGCAATAAATTAATTAAGTGATTAGATCACATAAGGTAACTATATTGTCTAAAGAAAACATTTAATAAACGAACTGGGGAAAATCGTTAATATATCAATAATGTTTGATAATTGGGGAGTAACAATAAGTAGTTATGTTTTAACAATAGCTATGTCAGAAAAATGAAACAACAATCCCATTTAGATACAGGGATGAGATTATTTGTTAACCAATCTAGTCTAACAAATAAGAAGTTGGGTTACATTTTAAGTTATACTGGTAGCATATTGTAAAAGTTTCAAACAACCAATCTAGAAAGTAAACACTTGGACTAACAATATATGATTTTATTTATTGAAGATACCAATTGTCGTCAAATTTATGTAATTTACCAATGAATTCAATCTGAAAATGGTTACTGCTCACTTTGACTTCAGAAGTTTTGTTGGCATGGATTCCAAAAGCCCAGCTAGTACAAGGGAACCTAGTATCACCTGTGGCGTCGGTGAGACGACCATCTCCCAAACAAATAGCGCGACAGTTCGTTCGATTATACTTTATGGCTGTGAAACAATTGCTATGAAAGTAGATGTTCGTAAGCTGAAGGTTTTTGATTACAGATGAGAATGTTGAGAGTAGGCATGACATGGCTCAAAATTGTCCACTTTAATCTTATCGATCATGGGTTCTATTATCCTTTCATACAAATCTTTCAAACCATATTCCTAAGGTTTAAACATCATTTTTACTATATCTAGTACATTATTTCTATTTCTGTTGTTATTTTCACGTTGTGCCAATCAGGTATGGCAACTTGAACCAACACACATCCGTAACGGGATGTATGTTTATGTCCATCTGCCTTCGCTAGCATTAAACCAGGAGGCTGTGGTGAAAGTAAGGAAGGTTTTCGACATACTTGTGTCCACAGTATGTAGAAAAGAACTTTAATCAAGTCTGAATCACCAAACGTTACTTGGTTTTAAACAAAGCGCCACGGCTGATTACTAGCAAACGGTGAACACGAAATTTAATGGTAACAAGCTAGTTAAATTTTTACACATTGAGGTTTCTTACGCAGATTTCCCACTAACAGGTGTTTTTGTCTTGCAACTAGATTTAACTGTAGTCATCTCCTCAAGTTCAATTACGCGAAGTGGTGCGAATTTATTTATTTTTATTTGAACACATAAATATTGGTACAGGGGGGCACCAAATACATATGCGCCACACTCATCATAGTTTTAGTGTGTGGGCTGAGATACTGCCCGGGTACCCAGACCGAAGCAGGTGGTTTTCTTAGGGGGCCACACCCCGAGCCTTCGACCTAAAGGTCTAGTCCACAAGGCAGTGGAGCATCGTGAGGAGATGCCGTCCCATGGAAGCCGGTGACCAAAAGTTGGTTCATACGCCATTTGTTCCCGCAGGATACTGGAGCCCATGTGCACCGTTGATTTGGGATCCGGTTATAGCGCCGGACATTCGCTTTTCGTCCTCTCATTTTCGTAAACAACACCCCCGCCACGAGAAGGCAGTGAGTAGGACTTCCCTGGCAGGGGCTATATACGCGTGGCCGTGTGAGAGTATTTCGAGAGGGAGGGCGAACCCTCCCCGCTCTCGGCCATACCAGGGCATTTGGGGGCAGTGGTGCGAATAAGATGACTTGTTAGACATGAACAAGAACAGAAATCATGGCATCAATATAATGCCCGAAACTAAATAGCATTCGATGTACTAAAGTGTATTAAGTGACATGTATTTGTCAATCGAAATGTTCACACGAAAGAGCTAAACAGATTTTGTATTGTAGAACAGTAGACTGTAGTACAAGTGAAAGTGCAAGTTATTTCCATTCGGTAAACTTTCCTAAGCAAATTTTAAACGTTAATAAATAATAATTATCAAATCCAATCAACAAAAGACAAATCGAAACAACTGCAAACGACACAAATTACTTACATAGTTGGATTATACCACAGATCGGCATTGGTAACTAGCGCTGTAACACACAGAATGCTAACAATAGTCGCATGTATTGACGATACTACACTGAAACCAACAAGAAAAATAGTTTGAAATTATTTATACTTGAAATATAATAAATCAATGTTCTTTAGAACTGGGTTTTGATTATCACACTAAACACCTCAAAATGTATAAAGTACGAATTCTGTAGTGTATTCCGAGTTTGAAAAGCAGACCAGTACATATCACAATAACCTTTACATGTAATAGTTAATAACTGTACACAGTCTGATTAAACACATACATAGAACTTCCAAAAATGAACTGCTGAACTAAAGAAAAATAGGAAAAACAAACCAACGTTCAGTACTGTGCTGAAATAGAAACAATGTACTAGATATAGTAAAAAAAAGTGGTTAAATCTTAGGAATATGACTTGAAAATATAATTGGAAGGTATGTATGAAGAGATCAGTCAGTCAGTAACAACGTAGAACTCCGTACGTACGTACATCAGTTCGAGTTGCCCTACCACATCAGCACAGAGATGCAGTTACTGATTCAAATCCCGTAGTGGTCAAGGTAGTAAGAGTATAAGCAGTGATCGGAGAGATTAGCGTTTGAAGATGTTATTGAAAAAGTATTATACAGTGAAACAAATTTGGAAAGAGAGACAAGGAGAATTCAGAAGATTAGAATTTGGGAGATAATGGAATTCAAGTTAGGTAAGATTGAGAAACGGACAATTTTGAGTTATGTTATCGAATGTCTCCAATTATTTAATGACAATTATCACACAGACCCTGACCAGGTAGTCTGCACCTACTTGCCTCATACCAACAGTCAATAGCTTTGTCGACCGATGCTGCATTTGGATTTAGGGATACTTAACATTTTTTCAACTTAATTCTGTACTACCGATTAATGTTCGTTAAGGAAAGAGACTGACACCTGATGAATTAAGTTAACTAAATGCTTAGTCCTAACATAAGATAATTTCACCATTTAGCTTACTTTGTATTCACCAAGAGGTATGAGAATGGGTCTATAACCTTTAATAGAATTGCGTGATTTGGGTGGTCTTAAAGAATCATGGGTTTCATAACACTTCTGAAACCTAATTTAGCTTATTCTAAATAACTCGAGACTTGGTAACATACAAGGTATATCTTTCTGGGGTTTGTAGTAAAAAATAAAACCCAGTACATAAGTTTACCAAACCGAATCGGATTGCTAGCATTAATTGTACACAAACACAGTAACCACATGTAATTTTGTAGTTACATTAGTATCAACGAAAAGATTTCTGCGTGACACATGACTGGGTTAGTGGACCTAAAGTATATTAGTTACGATGACTTACCGTGAATCCCATTCCATCCTATGGGGCCGAGGTAGATTGCGATACAACTTATTATATCGCGTGAATATCCAAGGGCTGATGATGTGATGGATTGTTAAACAGCAACCAAAGCTGAGAACGGACCATTTAAAATAGTATTCGGCTTTGGGGCCTTTTCGCAATTCTCCATATACTGAAAGAGCTTCCTCAAGATCGCCCCCAAGTGCCATCTCTAAAGATGTTCGGCTGAACAATATTCAAAAATGCAGCCAACTAGAGCGAGCTACCATTTGTCAAACACCTGGAGCCTATGAAGTCGCCTGAAGAAGGCCTTGATATGTTTTGTGACGGGTTAAAACAAAACTAAAACGAAAAGTGCTGAGTTTAGACAGATATGGTCACACAATCTCTTAAACCCTTGAAGCAACAAATTAGACTAAATATATGTTGTACAAGACATCTTTGTAAGAATCATTCACGTCGTTAGTTTTCAAATGGATCTGTACGAAATTGAAGGAGCTTTTGCAAAGCGAGCTTCCGTATCTAGTGGCAATGCATCACCGATGTCCTCAAGCAAAAATCTATTCATGTTTAAAGATAGACAAGAAATTAAAACCAGTAAATTCTATCGAGATACTATCCAGAGAAAATATCAAGTATCCTCTCAAAAGACCACTGGGAAGTTGTATGTACCGTCGCAGTCGGCAAGCGATTCCAGTATTCGACTAATCTTAAGGAGTAGAAGGTATACCTACAATAAACTTTCTTATGTCCTTAGTTTCTGGAGGTTGCGACTAAACTTAAGTAGGTATATAAGGAGATGCACAGAAGTGTTTAGGATGATTTATGTTTAGAAAATCATCTCTTAGATGCCTGTGCTCCAACGGTTAAAGGTTCAGTGAGCACCCATCTAAATTTTTATCTAGTTCTGAAAACAAAGCAGAGTTCTAAGCTAGTAAAAAAACATCGGATAGTAAAATGCTGTTCAATACATCATCAACATGATAAGTATATGGTCCAAACATTATAGAAGACAGCTTTGTGTTAATTCTTTGTTCACATAAGGATTTGATCAAGCAACCTGGTGCCGTACTCTGAGCTGATTAGCAAGATATTTAAACATGAAAGTATTTTTATCACTTTGCAGCATAAGAGAGCTTTCCACTCCAGAATTGATGAATAGCTTTGGTAAACTTGAACTGTATGTCCCTAAACTTCAGTTAGCATGAAAACTAAATAATTATTGGTGTGATATTTCTTCTTACAGATCTACTCTTGATCTTCAGTATGAATTCACACACCCGAACAGTACACACTTTACCTACTATTGGATAACTTTCCATAGAAATAAAAGTTCCTGACAGATAATGAAACTAGTAATAATCTAGAACTACTCTCAGATAATGGCTCAGCACCGAAATGTGTTTTGAAAAACGAAAATACTGTTGTCAGTATAGCTGAAGAGTGATATTCCGAATGCGAAAGGACGAGATGTTGATGTTCACGAGAAACATCGTGTTTAGATGTAGGCAGAGAGCTTGACATATGATTTACAAGTCAGTGTCTTAGAGACGATATACGTCAACGAACAAGTGAAAATACAAAGACACTGCCTAACCGAGAAACTTCAAATGTTACTGCCAATTGAATGTGGCGCTATCGAGTGTTCATAATGACACCTGAACTGAGTTTAGGACAACTGAACATAATCAAGGAGAAGACGATAAGCTTTATTTAAATGATAACGAATAGATGTTATTTGCGAGTGGACACAAGAAAGTATACAAAAATAAACAGAAGAAACCGCGATTTACAGAGTGAATCAGATCGTTTTCTAAGATCGAATAACATTAATGATGAAACTGAAAATTAGTAGGGTTCTTCAACATATGCCATGCGACCGGAACACTTGAAGCTTGGACAAACGAATGAACACTACTGATATAATGACAGAGAAGCTGTCCTTCTTCTTTCAGCAGAGCACAGGTACTTATTCCAATTTTTAACGTCACCATTGCTGAATCGAAATATATGCTGTTTAAAAGGTTTCCAAAAATCTTCACATTGGGATGATTATTAGAAGTGATTGTAATTAGCAAAACAACAATCCATCTTCTGGTTTTGAGTTTAGCCAAATAGCTAAAAATGGATTAGGGAATGAAGAATGTTAGCAGGAGGGTTCAGCAAGTCAGTTTTACTCCAGACGTAAGAAATCTCCTGTGGCTTACTACATGTTCTTAAGCCAAGACTGAATTAAAATTCGAATGTTAAAAATGTAGTGTCAAATTCGAAAAACAAAGGATTATGAGAGTCAAATCTCAAACCAGCTTCAAAAGTAGGCTGAAATGAAACATCGTTACATATGTACATCAAGATAAAAATTATATTACACTTCACATTGTTTTGTTTGCCAGAAGGGCAGATAATGAAAAGCATTGTTCCGTTTGTAAAAGTATATTCAAGGTGGATAAGTGGGCAATGTCAAATTTCAAGTTTCAAACTCTTGAAGACAAAAACGAAATGTGACTCCTGAATACTGGGAAACAAATTTCGATCACTGGATATACGAATACCCCATAGGACTGTAGAGACAAATGAAGCAAATACTGATAAATATAATTCAATGTAATAAAAAGGATCATAATCAGTTCTGGGTAATTTTGAGAAGCCAACATTGATGAATTCACATTCATATGATTGTCAAACAAGAGAAGCATTCATTTAACTTTTTAACTATGTTGTGACTCGAATACTTTTTAGTGGAACAACATTAAAGCCGGTAAAATAGCATATATCCTGTTTGATCTGTAGCCTACAAGATATATCGTTTGTTCTGAAAAAATCAATGATTTTATGTCCACTCCATCTGTCAACAAACCTGGAAATCTTTTGATAAACTGCGTCATATCCTACAAGATTACGGCAGAATACAGAATAAAACTACCGGCACTAGGATGTGTAGAACCCTACAGCCGAAAATCATAAGATAAAAGAAGGGAAGCAATTGTTGGGTTAGAGTCAAAAACGTGTAGAAAAATGTGGGTACTTATAGCTTTTAATTTTAAAGGAGGACTGTAGATATTTGACAGATCAAAAACTGTCACATTGAATATTATTAACTTCACTGTGTTTTGGGTGTATTTCCATTACCTAACTTCTGAACTTGTGAGTTTATATTGTAGCCGTAAATAAATCTCCATTATAAATAGCTCTATAGCTCCCCGACACTGGATCCTGACCACGTTAGCTTTAATGGTATCACCTAGCTCATATCGCTTGCGCATGCATTCGAACCAGATCACGAGTGGGAACGCCGTGCTCAACATCCCCTGCAATCGCAAACCAGTTTAGGTCAGTCGATTCTCGATACATAGATCGCCTATGAAATATATCTTCGAACCTAGGACTTTTGATTTCACTAGGTGGGTACGATTCATAGTAGAAGGTGTTACTAGTTAAAGCGTTATCAAAGTCCAAATTCATGTGGCATTTTCAACATCTCTGACCTTGTTATTTTGGTTTTACCTTGCTTTTGGTTTGGCATTTTGGAAACTTTTAACAGGAAACCTAAAAGTTGAAGAACGTTATATTTAGGATGTTTAATCGTAGTTTGCAAACAAATTTGACCTGAATTAAATTTTGGTTCATTTGTTATTCGGTGTCAAAAGTTACAAGTGCATCGGTCGATCGTGCTTCAATAACAGACAGAACAATTAGTATTGACAATAACATTTAAATTTAGTCGATAAACACTTAGGAGAGTTATAAAATTGTCCAACCATAGCATAGCACGCTGGTATTCTTGAAGGTTCCATCAAGTTCTAATTCGACAGAATCTGCTCAGCTCCTTTGAAACCTCTGAAGGTTTCGTTATGTTTTGTCGAGCCGTAGCAGCATACAACCAACCATTTTTTCAATCTTACATACGTAAGATTATAATCCAATGCTAGTTTCGATAACCAGTTACCCTGATTTACACTAACGTTGACGGTCGTCTAGTTATTATTGTTTTTGGACTTGAATCTCACAACCATTTACCCGTTCTGTCTTCCTTACTATTATAGCGTGGTGTCGAGTCGCGCTTGACTATGAACACCGCTACAAGAAGACTACGTGCCAATTAACCAATAGGATCCCCGTAGGTTAATATCAGAAGGCAGATGATGGCTGTAGTCGAGATGTATTTGTTGGCTATCTCGTGGTATCGAATTCGTACAAGTTAAAAGTCAACGGGAGAGTGAGTGTAATGGCTGTCATTAACGCAGTTAAACAAACGAGCACAGTAAAATTCACTGGTACAATTGGTTATAATAATAATTGTTTTCATTGGACCAGCCGCGTTCTGTTGACAAAAGTAGGTCACTATAGGAGCCCCCCGCTAGAAAGGGTTTACACTTTTGATAGTTGGCGGTTTGATTCGTGGGACTGATCGGCAGAAGTGCGGTTGTAGGATGGAAGAATTGGTGAAACAGGAAGCGATCGTTGATCCTCGAGTTGCCAACAAAAGTCTTTTGCGTAGAACGGTACCAGGAGGAGTGTGCTGTATTTGTTGCTCGAGTTAGCATACCACACCAGAGTGGTTTGTATCCAGGATCTGAAGATTGTGTTCGTAGGAATGCGGACCAGAAAACGCTGCAGACGTAGGACGAAACCACGTTGAGCCAAGAAACCGGACGCGACCATAACGACCAAGCGCAAAACCAAGCCCATGCCAGACGGATTCAAAACCAGATTATCCACTGAGTGCGTTGACAAGAGCGTGGGTGATCAGGCCAGCTTTCGCCATGGTTGACTGAAGTCGACGTTACCAAACGGGCGATGGTCGGAGGCGTGGGCTCAGGACACAAAAAAATAAAGAAAAGTGTAGCATGAGCGTAGTATAGGAATAATCCTACACCGTATCCGTTATTGACTGTGCGGTTAGTCGCGAAAGCGTACGGGTAAGCGTACTTGGAGACCGGAACGTGAGACGGTAGTTTCGTTCGTACTTCGTGAGCCTGCGATCTCATCCGAGGTCAAGGGCGGCGTGGTCTGCCGATCTGGACGTGAAACGGAAGTCTCGTCCGTAGATGGTGCAGATGACGCGTGCTGTTGATCGGAACGTGAGAATGAGGTCTCTGATGTATCTAGCGTGGGATCCGAGATAGACGTAGAGATCCCGCTAGTAGGATTGATAGGTCTAGCATTGAGTCTCAAGTTATCGTGCAGGGCACTGTCATGGACGTGTGCTGGTTTGAGACGATCAATGCTGACAATCTTGACGCGGCCATGTCGATCAACCTTGAAGGTCTTTTCGTGACGAAAGATCACGTGAAAAGGGCTTTCGTAAGGCTG